ACCATGGTGCACAGGTGCATTTTTTCCCTCTGCAGTTAGTGTTTTGTATGTTGTTTGTGATCAAATTAAATTATCTGGTAACGTGCAAACAGGTAATTAACAAACAAACAATCAAAAAAAATTAACACCTGTAACTGTAACAGAATAAAAGTTTAAAAACTGGAACACTATGACTGGGTCTTAACAGCACCAATGTAACAACAACATTTATGCATTTGGCAGACACTTTTATCCAAAGCTGACATTGCATTCAATGAAAACCCATTGCCTTACCGTACAGCAGCACCACTATCTCAACTGTAAGCACAAACATCTCTGTGATTGTTGGCGTGACCCTTTAATTTGCAGACAAGTGCATCCAATGACAGGAGGTATTAGACTACAGTTATAGCAGGTTAAAGCTGTTCAGTGTGGGAACATGTCTTTACGTTTAAGGAAGTATAAATAATTTAAAGTGAGGAGGTAAATCTTGCAGAAGTTTTGTATTGCATCATTAAATCAGAGCTCAACCAAAAGCTGCTGTCTTATCATTTACCATTTTAAAAATGTATTTTGCTTCTCCTCCTCCTGTCTATGCATATGAAACAATTGGGGATTCTATTAATCAGATTTTTTTTTTTCTTTTTGGAAAAGCAATAATATAATGAAACAATTATTACAATAATTGTAATAACCAAAGCATATAAATAAATAAATAAACGGGTAAAAAAATTTAAAAAGTCGTATTGGAGGTCTGTTAAAGAACTGAAAAACTGAACTGGAAAAAACGCTGCAATTCTTGCTTATTGCCATTACACTGAGTTAGCCTATGTTTAGAGGTCGCTCAGTAAGAGTTTTAAGTCTATGGCGTCATTGAAATCTTTAAGTGCCTATACGGCAGGAACAGTACGTGCATTCATAGAGTCAGAGGCTGTTTCTCAATTCCAAGAACGCAAAGAACGGACTTGCGTTCTCGTGGAGACCGGTATTGCCAAGCTTCCTTGGATGAACGAACTCGGAAGGACGCGAGGACACAGAACGCACCCTCATGAGAATTGAGATGTGCTGCGTTCTTGCTTAACTGACCGCATAGTCACAGCATAAGCAGCGGCCAATGAACCATAAATATAACATAACATTACAAAGAAACGTCATAACTTATTAAAACATTTCGTACTATTATAAATATTATTTACATATAATTGTAGGCCTATATCGTTTTATTCTACAGCGTTATGTTTAACTATGACTATGTTAAGATTCATTTTAATATGCCAATAAAAATACTGCAGACTTTCTCCGGGTCTAATAACTTTATTAAAATTAAGCAAAGCAAAACGATAAATGTTTACTTTCAAGAGCCGGAGTTTAAAGCTTGCAGGCTTCCGTACACCTCGTTTGTCGATAACGATTTTTCTACGAGTCATTTTACGATCGTTCCTTATTGTTTCACGTGCGTTTCCCAAAAATGCACTTAACGCAATCGCGCGTAGCCGTGCTTTAAGTGCTACTTAGGAGTCGCTATCTGTTTGTCAAGTGCTGAAATGTCACCTCATAGAATGGCTCGTAATTGTAGTACACGCTCGTTTATTGAAATGGTAACCTAATGCTGCGTTCCAGACAACTCCGATATAATAGCTATTATATTATATTATATTATTTACGTATAATATTATACTTTACATAATAAAATGTCCTACATTACTTCTTTTATTCATTTTTATTGTCATTAAATTTAGATGTGTATTTCTATTTTTTCTGCCCTTTTTAATTATTTCATTTATAAATTCATAAAAACGAGTAATAAAGTGTACAATAAAGTACAATCAAAACTTTATATTATAATCACATTGCACTTGAATAACGTTGAAGGTGCACTCTGATCGTCCTGCAGGTGACCGCATAAATCTGTCTTCTTACGATGCACTTTGGGCTTTACGATTACTCCAGAGCACTCGCAGATCTACGATGATTTTCAAGTGCTACTTAAGCTACGATGCTTTTGGGAAACAGACCGTAATATTAAGATGGGACGTGTAACAGACATCTTTCCGTCGTGAAATCATCAGTCTGATTCTCTAGCTAGTACATTATTGCTACAGAAAATTAACATGATAGAGCTGGAACTAGAACTAAAGTTTTAACTGGTAATTTGGCGGTGAAAAACATCACCTTTTACAAGAATTAAATGGGCTGAAAAACATGCATCAGTGACACCGATCTTTTACCTTTACCCTCATTCAGATAACAATTGTGATACCTTTTTTTCGTTTTACACTAACTATAGAGCAGAACTAGAAAAACCACATTTTAGAAGCTTGCGTGAGTATGAACAACGATCCTAAGCCATAAAACATCAAATTTAAATATTTGCATTGCATGCTTAAATCCTTGATAAGACTGTCTTGTCTAAGCTTTTGACATTTGGATCGTTCATTCATTCATACACTTTTAGTTGTCATTATTGTTGTGATAATGTTATTAACCGGGAGTATAATGGAGTCGTATACTGTTGTTTAATGTCATTTTGAAGTGCTATTGTGCATATTGCACAAGACAATAATATTCGGAATTCGGAGAGATATTTTAGGAAACACAGTTAGGTGGTCGTGGTCATGGATATATGTTTTAACCGACACTGAGAGAGTTCATATCTGACGATTTGTTGTCAAATGTCACATTCGTGTTCACCTGGCTGTCAGTATTACCTATTGCTCAGAAAGACGGCTATGATTCCATCAATCAAATTTCAAAGTCTTTTTTTTTGTTTTTATCTCACTAATGTTTTGGCTCTGAGTGCAAAATATAGCCTTTCTCACACTACACTTGTCTTTGACACTGGTGGTAGACTAAATTAATTTAGAAAAGATAACATGATTGATGTTTAGGTCACAAGTCATACACTATATTTGGCACACATAAAACGTGCTGCTATAGATCAATAACACAGCTTCAAACAAAAATCACACCGGCCAGCGCAGAGTTTTATTATAATGTTGTATCTTAGTTCTTAAAAGGGTTCTCTATGTCCCAAGGTACCAACGTTCGTTCCTTTTCTATAAATTTACCCACAACTGGCTCCGTTGTTTGTCATTTTAACATTATGGACTGTAACTGATTGTTTGTTTAAAATAGTTGTAATTTATCCTACCTCTGTAATTAATTCCTAATTGAATACAAATTTGAGAATATCCGCGTGCACGTTTCTAGTGTCAGTTAATTCCAGTGTTCACCAATTAAGAGGTGCTCTTTACTCCCCCACAGTGATGGGGACAGCATACACAACACGGGCGAGAGACCTTTGGGTGTCAGAGAGGATGCGCCGAACGCGCTGAATTTCATTTAGGCTATATGCACCATTTGTTTAAACCAACTTCGTATTAATAAGGTAGGCCTACGCTGCTTTATTTGGTTATTCGTTTATCTATTGTTTAATTTTTTTTACGTTTTTTAATGCATTTGTTCGAAACTATTAAAATACGTATAAAAACGTATACAATAAAGCATTATGATATTAAAGCCACAATGTTTACTTGGAGTGTAACTGTAGTTGTATTAAGTTAGTTGTAATTGTACCGTTGTCCTGCAGGTGATTGCATGAAACTGTGCTTACCATACATCTAAAACTCTAGGATTGCTACAGAGAGCGCTAAGGTCTATGACGATTTTCAAGTACCGTTTAAGTGATTTCGGCAGTCCCGTAATGTAATTATAATGCGATTACTATTATTGTTTCTACTATCTGCTAAGGCTTAGGATGCTTTTGAAAAATGCGACCCAGATCCGTAAGTGCAAAAGAAAGAAAGAAAAAAAGGCCTATACATCTCCTGTAGCCATCAAAATAGTTTTAAAATTATTTAACTAATAGTAGAACGTCGTAGTAGTAGCAATAATAATAATCGCGTCGAATATTATGCAAAGGATTTTATGCATATTACTCGAAGATCTGTATCTATATGCTGAGTCGGCATCTTCCACGAGGTTGCAAACAAACATCAACTATGTCATCACAAATGCTTTAAGCAAAATGACTGTAAACCCGTTTTAAGAAAATTGTCCAATCGAAGATTATCTATATAAAGGCTATGTATATTTATATAAATCTTGTATATTATTTACATTATCTTATCTTATCTTATATATATATATATATATATATACTTTTATCCTAATATATCCTAACATATTTTGCACCGTGTGGCATTGATCCAGCATCAACAGATAGCATCACTGGAGGCGCCAAATGCGGAGAAGCACCATTACGCTCAGTAGCTCACATGAGAAAACAGCAAACTGGCCTTATCACTCCGTGCAGAGCATATTGCGTGACACACTCTCTAGATGAAAAAATGTAGATGTTGTAGCACTTTTTGCTGCTAATTTAGAGTGGACATAAATGTATAGGTACTGAAAACCCTAGCGAGAATGAGCAGAGAGGAAAAAAAAAGGTTGTTATAGAAATTTCCATATATCTTTGCGAGAATTTGAAGTGACCTTGGGTTATATCATAAAATACAATAACGATATTGACTTCAAGTGTTTTTTAGGCAATACCTTTATTTAGCATATTTACACATGAATTTATAAAAATATATAACTAAAGCTTTCTTCATATTTACAGTAACAATTTATTACTTTGTTCACATAGGGGCTTATTTAATGTACACGAGTATGTAATGTATTGCCATTCTTTAAAAAATATTTTGTACTGATGCGTGATTTAGCTTTAAGACAAATCTAATTTTGCATACTATGTTGTCGCTGTCATAAATAGCATAGACAAAACCAGTATGACAGTAATGGTTAAACAGCCATCCACCAAACAACGCAGCCTGGAGACAGTTATTGTTACAGTAAAGAACAAAGTCGGATACATTCATTCGGCTTTACAAAAATCGTATTCCCAGAGAGCGCTGGCCACGGACTTGAACAGGACAACACCGTCGAACGATGTGCAGTGGCTGAACTTACGGTTTGCGTTCTTGAAATGCGATCATTTCTAAACGGATGTATCTGTGTTGTTACGAGGATGAGGTAGAAAGGTTGAGTCCGTGTACATTGCTCAAGGCTTCGTGTTGCTGCTTGCTTAGGTGACTCTGTGGTTTTCTGTCTCCTGTGGAAGACAAACAGGAGAACATATTTAGAGACAAAACAAGTCGTAACTCTACTCGCATCCAATCACGCATTTTCTAAATAATGTAAATCTATAGGATCGGGGCAAGACGATTCTCTAAAATGCATTTACTAAAAAAATATTCTGAAATCAAAGTTTATGAAATATACTTAACATTTTCATATTTGCGTAATACAAATAGTGGCCAAAACTGACCATTTATTTTATAATGTATATTTATTTTGAATTTTTTTTTAATAAAAAAAAAAAACGGCCTAAATGCCTACAAGTGAGTAAACGGCAATAATCAATAGCAAAAATGCATTACACGTAGGTCTATTAATGAGGCCAATAATTTATTGATGCTGGTGAGCATACAGGCCGCAATTGTGATATACTGCAATAGTTAGATCGCTTACTTTACCCTGCACGACCTCATTCTCTTACGAAATTTTATGTGCATGCCTAATGGATTGGTTGAGAACACTAGCACCCTATTAGGTTTCTATATGAAGGTTGGAACCAATTTAATTTGGTTGTTTCTAGCCATTAAAGTACAGTGAATAATAATATAAATCTAGCCAAGGACGTTTAAGAGGTGTATACATATCTTAAAACATGGCTAAGATTAAGCATTGTCAAACAATTTTAAAGTTAGTTAATGATAATGCTCTGTAAGCAATTATACTCAAATCTCATCAATAATGGACAACAGTTGAAGTGTGACTGATTTCAAAGTACGATTGTGCATACCATCTCGCACAGCATGTTTGAACGCCATAGAAGAATGGATGTCACTCGGGTGCATCGCTACGCCACCGCCAGGGTGGGAGTGGCTGGTGCCCTGGGCCTGCCAGTGATGCCCTGGGCTCACATAACTGCCTGCTGGACCACTGTACACGCCATACTGGTTGGAGGGAGAGTACGCGCATGCTGGGACATAGCTAGACAAAGTCGACGAAGGCTGAAGAAACAGGGGAAAAACAAGTACATAAAGACAGAGCAAGCCAAAAAAAAAAAAGTATACAAATAATACATGATAAGGTAACACTTTACAATGTCCGTGTTATAGGCTATTGCACATAAATATACCTGCAATAGAATCTTTGGTAAAACAGCGTATAAGCAGCTCTATAAGAGGAATTCTAGTTAGGTAGGCTACGCTGTTAATTCATATTACACTTACTTACTTGTGTAATTACAAAATAACACCAAATTGCAAAATGACATCCAAATACGTGGAAATTATTTCTGAACAGAGATTGTATTTGAAACAATAAAACAGTTTATAATTGCTACGATACCTGAGGGTATTTTATGTCTGCATCAATAGATGATTTGTCTATTCCATTGACTCCATGAGCAGAGGGAAATGTCGCTCTATTCACACTACCCCAGTCCTCCATTTTTGGTGCGTATCCTTCAGCGCTAGCAATAGCTAGAGGAAAAAATGATTTAAATGCGTTTAACTTTCTGTTTTTGCTTTGTCGAAAAACTAAACTAAAACTAAATAAATCAAAATTACTCCAAGAATAATAAGGCATTATTTACGGAATTAGCTAATGTCAGCGATAGTCTCCCTTGTAATTGAATGATTTAAACTATCTTTTAAATACATTCGACAAATGTGCAGCACATTTAACATGGATACGTATTAAGCGAAAATGCTGCATATTATCAATTATTCGAGGTGACCATATATAAGGTAGGCTATATATTTTCATATATAAGAATACTCCCCGTAGTTTTGCTCTGTAAGAAACAAAAGGCATTAAACTTACGCTATGGAAAATGTGCTATGTGAAACAGCATGGCACATCATGTAGCCTACATGTTCAGTGACTTAAGCAAATCCAAGATTTGTACATGAACATGGCGATCTTTTCTGCATTTTTAAAACATTGCTAACGCTTGAGATTGTCAGTAGAGATAATGAATATTATTGGCCTAATAAGACAGTCGTTGCATGGCAGGCACCGTATAGTAGCTTTATTTGAATTATTTAAATACTCATAACCAAAGCAAACATTTGACAGTTCATTTTGAGGCTCAAGGTTACGGTTATTTCTGGTCTAAATAAAGCATCTCTCTGCAAAATAAGCATGCAGATGTGAACGAGATCTCACCCATTTGCTCTTGCGATGCTTGTCTTTTAAACAGTTCCCCTTCAATGGCTGAACGCTGCAGCATGCAGTAAATTTGTGAAGATGTTCAGACAACCTTCTGTTTGTTCCGGCTGCAAAACTTCTACATGCCAAACTTGTCTAGGGTAGAATGGGATACGAGTGATCCTCTCCCGTTAAAGAGGGATTTGTCTGATCCCGCAGGGTGAAGTTTGCTGGAGTTAATTCGAGGCGTCCTCCACTTCAATCTAACTGGTTACGCGGAGAGCGATGGCTTGATTTCATTGGTCCAGGCTTCTTCGGGTAGGCTGCGTGTGTGCGCGTACCATCCAGTATGCAGAACTTAACCTTTTCAATACATTAATTCAGATTAGAAGGAAAGAGCAAGGCTTTGTTTAAACGAGACGCATTTCCAGCACTGGTGATACGTTAAGCAATATATGCAACTATGGCATGTGGAAAAGGGTGGTCTAAGGCTAAGCAACAGAAGAGCTGTTTAGGCATCCACGTTTCGGGAAGTGTATGTAGCCTATATGGTATGAGAAAAAGTATTACATTTATTTTGCACATATTCTACACGTTAAATCTGCTATCTGTTAGCAAACAATCTGAATGAAGTGCGCCTTTGCAGAGCAAAAAATCGTACATCAAGTGAAAGCTTGATGATTTAGCCGTGCGCCACTACCAATGAGAATAACAATGAACCCCTGCAAAACCAAGCCCTTTATTTGTGTATTTCATACTTCTGATGTCTAAACCATCACTAGCAATTAAACAATGTGCTGTCAATTTGAGATTTTAATTAAGTAAACAAGTCTTTATGAATAAAGAGTTGTATATTTTGCCGCTTGAGTTAAACAGTTTTTGTTGGCTGTAGAAGCAATGGAAATGCTCCATTGGCGTGAGATAGAACTGACAAGTTGTGAGAAAAAAAACACATATCATATCAAACTATTTTGTAATGCACATTTCACAGAAACGTAGCCAACCTAATTTATCAGCGCACATGCTCCAAATAATACACAATGCAATCGTATCTTTGTCACATGATTACTATATAGGATATTGACTGAATTCCAAAGGCCAACACTATCACAGCATGCTCACAGTTTCCTGTGGAAGTAAAGAAGGTATAGTTTATTAGCTCACAAAATCTCACTTGTAAAAGTTTACAGACGACCCAATAGAAAAAGAAGCGGTGTCACTACCCGTACATGTGTGTAGGTCACCAGCCTCCAACGTCAACACATGGAGAACATCTTTTGAGATCATCAACCATTTGGGGGAAATGTTTAGGTTACTGTAACGAAATCAGTGAGCAAAAGTGTTTAGTCTGCTGTTGTTGTGTGAGAAAACAAGACCGTCACAACACAACAGAGTGCTATTTTTAATAGACATCAGCATCATATATACTTGTTGTAACTATGCCCACGACGTGTAAAAAGGGTATTATTACCATATCAAGGTGAGTGCTGTGCGTCAAAAATAGACCTTTCAAAAGAGTCCCACAGGTTTAAGTCGTGGTCAAAACTCATTAACAAGGGACGTATTGAGAGAAGAGAGCCAAAAGTCTCCCTCCTCTGGATAAATTAGGCAATTACACTTTGTAGTCAGATTTTGTGGATACACAATGAGGTTAGCAGGGGAAAAAGGCTATCGAAATTTGCTTCACGAGATCATTGGTGAAACATGCAGACGACGAACTCACTTCGTTGGTGTCTTGCACCGTATTCTCAGGTATGCACAGAGCTTTACAGACTTTATTTAAATTGAAAAATATAACGTAAAGGAAATAAGTGCAAAGGATTGTAGCCCGTTGTTGTGACTGCTGCTGTGATGCATGTCGGTAATTCCACATTTTTTTTTTTTTTTAGTTTGAAAAGTTAATACATGGGGAAATTCTTAGTTTTACTGATGTGAAAGGAAATTGTGGTTTGAAACATGCAGACGACGAACTCACTTCATTGGTGTCTTGCACCGGATTCTCAGGTATGCACAGAGCTTTACAGACTTTATTTAAATGGAAAAATATAACGTAAAGGAAATAAGTGCAAAGGATTGTAGCCGGTTGTTGTGACTGCTGCTGTGATGCATGTCGGTAATTCCACATTTTTTTTTTTTTTTTAGTTTGAAAAGTTAATACATGGGGAAATTCTTAGTTTTACTGATGTGAAAGGAAATTGTGGTTGCTTCCAAAGGCATGAGATCGGAGATCGGATCGATTTGAGACTCGAACTTGAGTAGGAGAGAGCGATAAAAAAAAAAAGAAATAAAACGGTAACATATTTCTAAATAATTAATTCAGAAAGCACCATTGTTTTCTTTCTTTCTTAATTTATTTATCCGTGACTTGCGACATATTTTAGGGGCAGATAATATAGTGATTATACAGTTAACTTTTTATCCTTACAGTTCAAATGCGGCATGCGCACAATGATGACAAATCAACATGGTGAAAACTGCATGTTTATAATACATAACTTGACATCCTTCTTTGCTATGATGTTTTATTCACTTGTAAGAATAAAAACCACTGAACTATTTTAAAGGATTAATGCCTTGATGAATTGTATCACTTTGTGTATTTCTCTATAAATAAGTCTGTATAGGCACGCTGCAGTGTTTTTTTTTAATCTCTTTTATGAGCATATGTCAAACTGAAATAATATTATTTTTGTCAAATGTATATTATTTGCACATTGTTTGGACATGTATTTAGGAATTGATGTGAGTAACGCTTTTGTTGAAAATAAGGGGTGATATAATTTTAAAACGGGAAAAGAAACCCATCTGTGTGGCGTTATTGTCTAATTCAGTAGATCATGTAGTTTTAAATAAGAAAGTAAACAGGACAGCCAACTTTTTTTTTTCCTCGGTAGTAATCACAAAGGTAACCAAGTTAAACATAACACCTGTATATGTCCACAGTTTCGCGCATTCATTTATAAATATAATTGACCAACAAGTACTGTCAAGTCTTTTTGGTTTGTTGGTTATATTCAAAGGCTGGTTTAAAATATAGCTAATACCTGTGACAACTAGCTTACAGTTTCATTCCTTATGCCGCATTATTTACATGATCAGGAAAGATGAAATAAACGCGTTGAACTGGCGCCTGTATGTTCTCAAGCTAAATATCTGTTTGTTGTGTTCATTTAGTTCGTTTGTATTATTGATTATAATTTCACAGCACACCCACTCCCCTCAAATAAGTTAAACAAACGAACTATCTTCTATCATTCATGTGCCGGTCATTTTCACTCTTTCAATTCACAGATAAAGACTGATGCTTTAAGATACAGATAGGAAGATAGGACGATAGAAGGTGTGCTCTCTCTCCCATTATCTGGCAAACTGAAAAAAGAAATGATGTCTGTTTTGGTAAAGACATTTAAACATGTATCTCCCGGGTCTTTGACGTAGTCTTTCATCGCTTATATAACCAAATATAAACTCCTTTTGGCAAGAAAATCTGTCAAAAGTCGAATTATCGCAAGTTTTATTTTGTGATAGCCTACTATTTGTTCTAAATTTTCCTCTTAATAATAATAACAACAACAATAACAATACAAATATAAATATTAATAATAATAATAATAACCATACATGGTTAATAACTTGGTACACAACCTACACAACTTAACATCTAAATTAACTGGTTTAATTCAAGGGAAAAACATAATAAAGAACACTGATTAAATCTATACATCATACCAGCCAAACTAAGGGTTAAATAAAAATGATTACCACTTTTTTTGTCAGTGAATTGCACATTTGCACAATTGCATATTTATTCAGTGTGCTATGCACAATAAAACATTTCTGCAGGAATGTCTAGCGTCAATTATTTATTCCCGTTTTTGATTAGCAAAGCTATAAAATATGTAGCTATTGCAATGATAAATATGACTTTGGGATTAAAACGTTTAAATCACGGATGCGCACGAAATATATTCTGATTTATATGGTCTCAGTTTTCTTTTATCCTTGTATGGACCGTCTATGGACGGTTTTTATTAAAGACCTGTTGTGGCTCAGGTTTTGATTTAGTGTTTGTGAGTTTTGTGATCTCATTGCTATGTGTGGAAATTAATAGACCAGGCCTGGACTGCGTGCCGTCAACAGATGAGAATCAACATGGGGTGAAGAACACAAAGCCTATACATTTACGAAATATAATCTATAATTCATACCGTACGATCCCCAGGGTCACTCTGAGAGCTTTTAAAATCACATAGCCTATACTCTCAAAACCGGCAGCTTATTAAGTCGTGGCCTAATGGTTAGAGAGTCGGGCTTGCTCTCTAACCATTACCCACTGCTCCGGTGTGTGTTCACGTGTGTGTGTTCACTACTCACTGCTCTGTGTGTGTGTGTGTGTGCGCGTTTTTGTGACAAATGAGGACATACATTTGTATAATGACAAAGGTATGACATAGGTATTACAAGGAGAAGGTGACTTTTCAGGACATTACCCCATGTCCCCACTTTTCAAAACGCTTATAAATCACACAGAATGGAGTGTATTGAAAATCTGAAATAGCACAAAGTTTCCTGTAAGGGGTAGGTTTAGGGGTAGGGTTGGTGTAGTGCAATAGAATAAACGGTCTGTACAGTATAAAAACCATTACGCCTATGGGGTGTCCCCACTTTTCACAAAAACAAACGTGTGTGTGTGTGTATTTGGATGGGTTGAATGCAGAGCACAATCCGAGTATGGGACACCATACTTGGCTACACGTCACGTCACCTTTTCACTTTCACTTTAACAAACATTCAGTAAAACACACTGTCTTTGGACATCTTCGTAGTTTAACACAAATGAAAATGTGTCACGCTTCCTTTTGATTTTATTAATTTGTTGAAATGCTTCTCTGTACCACAAAATCAAGCAATTTGTTCATTTAAATCCATGTTTAATTTCATTTGTCAAAACAAAAACGTGCGAGTACAAAGTATCTTCTAGAAAAGTGAACTGAATATGTCCAGAAAAAAAAGGCAACACAT